GAGGTGGCCGCCGAGTCCGGGCTCTGCCTTCCCAGAACCCGGGGTCCCCCAGGAGGTGGCCGTGGGCAGGCCAGTGGCCCCTAGTGACCCCGGGGCCGGGAGTGAGAGGTTAAAGGGGGTGGTGCACGCGGGCAGGCTAAAGAGCCATCTCGGATGGTGGTTTAAGAAAATTTGAATTTATTTAAGGGAAAGGGGCTGGGGCATGGGATCTCCAAAGGGAGGGCTGGCCAGCACCGGGCCAAGGGGCCATGGGGTGGATGATGGCCCCGCCAGGAGCAGGAGTCCATCCTTAGGTGCAGTCACTGGCCGGAAGCCCTTGTCCCCTGTGGTCTGGGGGCTGAGCTGGGCTGGAGGTGGGGTGGATGCAGGTGTGCGATCGGGTGTCTTTAGGGCAGTTTCCGTTCCTTATATGGTCTGACTCCTGCTGTCCAGCAAGTTCTTCCTGCTCCTGGTTCTCCTGTGGCTGGAAGCGCACAAATGGCCTGAGGACTGTGTTGCTCTCCAGCCCTAACATGAAGCTTCACGCCAGTGCTGGCCTGAGCCTCTCGCGTTGGAGGCACCCCATCTATTGTGACCCACGGCTATTGTTGTTCTCACCCGGGGTTGGACACCTCCTCCTTGGGCCTGGTGGGGTGAGGAGCCTGCCCCCCCACACACACTTGTTTATTTGAGTAGCCACCTTGACCTGACCCGTTGGCGGGAACAATGGTATCTAACGGCTCTTAGGTTTGGAGTCAGGTTGACCTCACTAATGTTTCCTTCTTGGTATGACAAGCTGAACACAGGAGCACAGGCCAGAAGAGACTCCAGGGCCTGGGGGCTGTTGGCCAGAGAGCTGGGAGGGCGGGGCGGGGCCGGGCGGTGGAGGAATGACCACAGGTGGGCAGGAGTCCTCCCAGTGCTGTGTGGCATGAGCAGGTCAGCCACCCTCTCTGGACCTTGGTCTCTGTAGGAGTGAACCACCTGAGCCAAGGGGCCTTACCACACACCCCTTTCCCTTCTCCCCCTGGAGACCTTCATCTCTCCCTAAATTACTGGCCTCCCACCCCCTCTACCCATGACCCTTCATGGCCCCCTCATCCTGACTTCCGGTACGAGGCAGTCCTTGGAGACTCAAACTGTGGTCCAAGGACCAACACACCTGCTTCACCTGCTGGGAAGGCAGCATCCCAGGCCCCACCCCAGACCTACTGAACCAGAATCTTTGGTTAAACAAGATCCCTGGGTGGTTTGTGTGCACAGGAAAGCTTGAGAGGCACTGATCTAAACACGAGGGAGGTCCTGTTATTAGTCTCACTTTGCACTGGGGAAACTGAGGCATGGAGAGGTTACGTAGCTTGCTTAAGGTCCCACAGACACTGAACAGTGGAGCCTGGATTCCAACATGTAGTGGGTTTTCGTGGGAGGTGATGAGTTCCCGGTCATGGGAGGTGGGGGGCAGGGGGTGAGGGCCCATTTGCCAGGGATGCTGCAGTGGGGACTCCTGCCCTGGCACAGAGGTTGAGATGACAATAGCAGTCAAGTAGTAAACCAGGTTCTCTCCATTCAGCCTCAGCAGGCACCGGTGACAGGCTCTAAGTCCTTACCTTGCCGGTGATGGCCACTGAGGCCTAGACCAGGTGGGTGGTCCAAGTCCCTCTGGGGGGAGGAGCCAGGCACTCATCCTGGGGCTGTGACCGGTTCTGAATGAGCTGCTCTGTCCCCTTCCCCTCCCCCAGCCCTGCCCGCCCAGATGCCTCCCGCTGGTGCCCAGAGAAGGCGGTGGCTATTTAAATACCTCAGGTGTGGCTACAGTTCTCTCTGCCCAACCGGCTGGCATCTCCCTCTCAGCGCCCACCTCCTCCCAAACCAGGGAAAGCACGTGCATTTGCCATTTGGTGAAACATCTGTCCTCCTGAGCAGCAACGCCCACTGCCAGCAGGAGCGGGAGCAGGGCTAGGATCCTCCTCTTCCCTGTTTCTCCAGGGGAGACCCCGGGGGACAGGCCAAGGCCAGGGGAGGTCTGAGGGGCGAGGCAGAGGGGAAAGAACCCAGGCGGCATGGCCCCAGGGCCAAGATCTTAGGGCCGCAGTGGCCTTGAGCCTGCCATGGCCCCTCTCTGGGCCTCAGCTTTCCCATCTGTTAAAGGGGACAATGAAGACAGAAGTACTGCTGACCGGTCCCTAGGCCTCTTTGTATCTAGTCTTCCCTATGGAATCGATACTCCCTATGTCTCAAGACCGGGAGCTCATCTCCCCCAATTTACAGATGAGGGAACTGAGGCTCAAACTTGTCTCTTGCTTCCCCAGGTCGCATAGATCTCTTCCCACACTTCTACCACCCTGTCTGTCCTTAGTAATCAGCCCTGCCTTGTTCAGATCCAGCCCATCTTCCAGGTGGAGCATTTTTCAAACACACCTCCCCCTTCTCCGGAGTAGAGGGAAAGTCCTCCTCATTAGAAACCCTTGGCTGTGGCCCATGCCAGCACCCCGGCCACCTGCACCATCACACACGATTTCCCCTTTGCCAGGTGGTTCCAGGCAAGTCCCTCACCCCCCAGCGCCTCACGTTCCTGACACTTAAAATGTGTCTGCGGTAAAAGCTCGATGGAGGGGAAGCCCAGAGAGACATTTCCTTCAGCTCAAAGGCAAGGATTCTTTTTAAAAAATAATTAATAAAGCAGAACATATGTTCAAAGTCAGATTACACATACTTCTTTTGGTTTTTAATATTTAAAAAATCTTTTGTGTGTGTTTTTTTTAATATTTAAAAAACACACACACAAAAGAAGTGCGTGCCATCTTTTTTCCTTCCTGGCCCTAGCTCTTTGCATATTTTCCCACCGTATTCAACATCCTGTCAAGTGCTTCCAATTGTGTGGAAGGAAAGCGTGGATGGAACGTCAAAGTCACTATCCTGAGGACACGCAGGGGAGGGGCCTGCAGGGAAGGGGGCGCTGTGGGCCCGGGCTCCCGGGTCTCCCTCCGGGTCCCCAGGGGCCGCTGTAGGTTCTTTCAAAGTCACCATCCTGAGGACACGCGACCACGTAATCGGTGCCGTTCGCAGGGGAGGGGCCTGGAGGGAAGGGGGCGCTGTGGGCCCGGGCTCCCGTGTCTCCCTCCGGGTCCCCAGGGGCCGCTGTAGGTTCTTCTGGCCTCGGCGAGGGGACGCTCCCCCGTGGGGGGAAATGAACTCTCCCCAGGCAGCCCCGAGGTGCAGCCCGCGAGGCGCGGGCGAGTCCATTCCCTACCTGAGCCGGGGTGGGCTGAGGGCAGCCTTTCCCTTCCTGCCGTCCTGCCCAGGTGTCCGCGCGAAGCTCAGCACCTTTTGAGTAACAGGCGGCAGGGCCACGGCGGCCCCATTTGCACAGAGAGGAGAAACCAAGGGTCCCAAACCTCTTCTCCGCTCTCAGTTCCAAGCACAGTTATTGAAGACCCACTGTGTGCCAGGCGCCTTGCGGGCTGAGCTTAGAGGCGCCTCGAGGAGCCCTTGGGACGCGGTGGGAGGTGGGCGCTGGTGCATGTGTTGGACGCAGCACAGAGGAGAGAGTCTTACCCTGGGTTGGGGGGAGTCGCCAGGGAAGATTTCAGTTAGGAAGGCTTCAGAGAATGCCCTGGTGGGTTTTGAAGCATGAGTAGGAGTTTGCTTGCCTCAAGGACAAAACCTGGGGAAGAGGGTAGAGTCCCAAGTAGAAGGAACTACACACACAACTGCGCAGAGATATGATACCAACCGCTCTCCCAGCGCATTTAAAAAATCCTCACCTGAGGCTATGTTTCCACTGATTTTGTAAAAAAAAAAAATTTATTGAGTTTTAGAGAGAGAGGAAGGGAGATGGAGAGAGAGAGAGAGAGAGAGAGAGAGAGAGAGAGAGAGAGGAGAGAGAAACATCTATCAGTTGATCCCGCAGGGGCCTCACCGGGGATCGAACCGGTAACCTAGGTATGTGTCCTGAGCAGGAATCAAACCCGCATCCTTTTGGTGCATGGGAGGACGGTCCAACCAACTAAGCCACCCGGCCAGGGCGCCCAGTGCATTTTATTTGTATCACTCTTTTTAAAAAAATATATTTTATTGATTTTTTACAGAGAGGAAGGGAGAGAGATAGAGAG